AGAGTCGAGTGTACTGTGTTTCAGTTTACTCTGTTCTACTGTATAGCGGTGAAACGTGACAATAGACGTAGAGTACATAAGAAGATTTCACTTAGTCGACCATCGTTGCCTTCGTAGTATAGGACGTATGTGGTTGTATCACCACGTCAGAGATGTAAAAGGATCTACATGCAATACTTCGGACTCGACATCAAAGGTGTTGATGTTTCCACACATTATTCTCATCTTCATCGTCATAATGGATTCGGAATTATCCTATTACTCTTTCTTCTCTTCAACTACTTTATTGTGCTTCTGACCGTTTCTTGTTTATCTCTTCATCCTTCATGAGTGTTTTCTCCCAAGATATGCTGTTACAAACCTCGCTTAGTTTACAAGCTTACTAGCCGGTCTTAAGCCCGGAAAAGAGGGAAGGTTGGGCATAGGGCTATCAACCCTACCCCAGAAAACCAATCCAATCCAATCCAATCCCTAAAGAAACTTAAAAGCACAGACAAAATATAAAACTTAACTTATTCCTCACTCGAATCAGGGAGACAAAATGACTCCGATTGGTGAAAGCCTTGGAAAAGCCAATTAATTGGCCGATGTAACTTCCCCCTCTCGATGAAAGCAAAAGTAAGCATACGGACATGGAATGTCCACACAATGCTTGAAGCTGGCAAGGCTTCTCAGATTGCAAAAGAAATGAGAAGATATGGACATAGAAGTGCTAGGAATCTGCAAAACCAGATGCAATGGAAGTGGACTCTCCAAACTGTTAACTCGAGAGTCAATAATCTACTCCGATATCGTCACCCAGACGACAATCACGAGCACATTGAGTTTCCGAGTGGCTATCATGATGTGCCCCACAGCATCGAATGCCCTCATGTAGTGGAAACCAATCTCCTCCAGGATCACGTCAGCAAGATTCAACTCAAAAGGAAGGAAAGTCACAACCATTCAACGCTACGCTAAGCACATACAAATAATGCAGATCAAGAGAAGAGGGAGGAATTCTATCGACAACTGCAATCAGTACTAGACAAGACCCCACCCCAGATGGAGACATCAAAATTCACTCTAATGGGTGACATGAATGTCAAACTGGAGCAGACAATACAGGAAGAGAACCCACCATGCGTCGAGAGGCACTCGGTGAAATGATGAATGAGAATGGAGAACTGTTTGCAGAATTCTATACCTTCAATGACTTGGTGATTGCAGGCAGTGTGTACAAACACAAGAATATTCACAAAGCAGCGAGCGACATGCAGTTGATTTCACCAGACACCAGGACACACTACACTGAAAATCAGATCGACTTCATCTCAATCGGAAGGAAGTGGAGACGCAGCCAGCCTACTGGACACAAGATCAGATGAAGAAGAGGAGCAGATATAGGTGGTTCATACCACTCACTATCTAGTACAAGGAATCTACCTTCAAAATCAAGTTGAAAGCCTTCAAAGAAGCTGGTGATAGACCACACTTCAAGTTCAACACCCACCTAGGACAGAAAGTGAACTGAAGGACGAAAGTACAAAGGACATCTTCATGTCAGTCATCAGGAAAAAGTGGGGGACATTAAGCAACATCCCTGTATAACCGTGTGTGTTAGGAAGGAAGAAGAAGCAAGACGAGACAAGTAGTGTATCTCCACGAACACATGGAAGCTGATAGAGGAGGTAGAGGAATATGGTGAAGCAGAAGATGAACCAGTGCACTGCAGGGATGAACAACGAAAAGAGGAACTGAGTACAACCTATAAATTACTACACTGAACAGCCAAAGAAGTGAAGAAGAGTGAGCACAAAGACAAAAGACACTTCTGCGACACACTAGCAACTAAAGCATCTGCAGGCTGCAGGTAAGAGAGACAGAGACCTGACAACACTATATCAAATAACCAGGTTACTATCTGGGCGGGAAGAGATCAACTCACATGAAAACAATGAAAGATAGCGAAGGAAACTTAGTCACCAAAGAGGAGCAACAAAGGAAATGATGGGCTGACCACTTCAAAAAAACTCTTGAATCGACCACCAACACCAACACTATCAACAACAACAACAACAACAACAACAACACCTGCAACTCGTCTAGAAATACCACCAGCAGCCCAGCCACAGAACTATCAGTCAACACAGACACTCCGATAATAAAAGCAGAAGTGAAGTCCTGAACACCATAAGCCAGGAAAGCAACACCACCAGATGGAATTCCACCAGAAGCATTGAAAACAGACGCAGAGACAACAGCAGTGGACATACTCACAACACACCACCACTGCAGAAGGTTTGCAGGGAATCAAGGAAGGAAAGGTACCTGCCAACTGATTTGAAGAAGGGCTACCTTGTCAAACTCTCAAACAAGAGAGGGAGACCTAAGCCTTTGCAAGAACTGGCAAGGAATCATGCTGCTGTCCACCTCAAGCAAGCAAAATATTAAGCCGCATCATCCCAAAGAGAGACTACAACGATAATGCTCTGCATTCAAAATTACGACCAGGGCAGGCTGGCTGGCTGGCTGGCTGGTTTTAGGAAGAACAAATCATGCGCCGATCAAATTGAAACGCTACACTACGTATCATCATAGAACAGAGCATACAATGGCAGTCAACTCAACTCCACCTCAACTTCATCGACTTTGAAAAGGCCTTGCATAGCTGCTTCAGCACTACGGTTCAGTGCCACAAACCTTCATCAACCTCATTCAACAGCTATATGCCATATGATGCTACATGACAAGTGATTCACAATGGAAAGCTCAGTGATGCCTTTGAAATGAAGTGAAGATAGGAGTAAGACAAGGTTGCCGCCTACTATCATCACCGATGATCTTGCTGATTGTGGTCGACTGGACTGGACTGGACTGGGGTGGGCTGGGCTGGATCATGCAACAAACTGTGACGAGAGAGAAGATGGGCATACGCTGGCTGGACCCATGAAAAGACTCCAGAAGAAGATTTGGATTTCGCCGCCGATGACGACTTATGTCTAATCTCTTGTCGCACAAACTACAGGCAAAAACCAACAAGTTGACAGAAGAGGCAGGGCAGCGAATACGGGACTTCCTTCAGGTGAACATAGAGAAGACACAGGTGATCAAGATACCCAACCAACACCACCACCACCACCACCAACAGCACAAACAACCAGCACCAATCACCATCAACAGGAGAAATATAAAGGAAGTAGTCTCTTTCACCTACCTAGGCAGCATCGTCTCAACTACATGTGGCACAGCCACAGATGAGGACATCAAAGCAGCCAGGATTGGAAACAGAGTAAAACAGGCCTTCCTTCATTAATCTGAAATCAGTGTGGAGATCTACCTCCACTCCACTTCACTCCACTCTAATCCACTCCACTCTACTCCGCTCTACTCCACTCTACTCCACTCTACTCCACTTCACTCCACTCCACTCCACTCCACTCCACTCTAATCCACTCCACTCCACTCTACCCACTCTGCTCCACTCCCCTCTACTCCACTTCACTCTACTCTACTCCACACTATTCCACTCTACTCCACTCCACTCCCCTCTCCTCCACTCCACTCTGCTCCACTCCACTCTACTCAGCTCTACTCCACTCCACTCCACTCTACTCCACTCCAGTCAGCATAAAGCGTGAACAAGATCCGGATTTTCGACACTGATTCAGTCATGAAAGTCAGTGCTTCTATATGGTTCAGAGACTTGGTGCCTTACGAAAGCATTTCCAACAAACCATAAACATGCATCAACAGCTGCCTAGGTGTTCTCGATACTGACACTGAAGATCAGATGGATTGCCAGAATAATAAGAATGAGCAAGAAGGAACTCACTCTGGCCTGCTGGCTGGCTGGCTAGCAACAAACCAACCAAGAACTTATCGCCTATTAAATATGCAGAAAGAAGCGGAGATGGATTCGATTGGATTGGACATACACTGAGAAGACCATTTGAGGACATCACGCGCCAGGTCATCGAGTAGAACCCAAATGGGAAACGACGAGTTGGGCGTTCGAGGCGAGGGTGACATGGAGGGAATTGTGTGAGGAAGAAGTGAAAGCTTGTTGGGAGTGGTGGAGCCAGGCTGAAAAGACTGGAGAGAAGAGAGTGAAATGGCAACGTGCTACTGAAGCACTTTGTTCCATTCGGAACCCAAGGGACAAATAACGATAAAAATAGAAAATACCTCATCCTTTTCTTATGATCTACCATCATTCGAATAGTTTTCGAAATCGACTGCAGTCGACATATTTCCTTGCGCTAGCTAACGACTTGGACGCACAGGTTGTACGTCTAGGTTTAACGACAAGTGGTTTAGGTGGCCATAATATTGACTGACGTTGCGTTACTGGGTGTTTGCTGCCTGTTTCTCAAATATGAACTCACTTAGATCATATTGGATATATTCAAGGCGTGTGTTGCTTCTGTTTAACTCTTTTCGAGCTCTGATTACACTTTAATTGGGGCTAAGTTCATCTTGTGTTTTGATGTTCATTAAAATCATCGTCCCAATAGTAACTTAAGCAAAGTGGTTACTATCAGTAGTAAAAATAAGTATCAAGCCAAGTTATATTCAATTTTAGCATTTGAACTTACAGAAAGTATAAATGAGCATTGGGTTAACCAATCATGAAAATCAATGAAGCATATAACTGTGCACACGAGTTACGCAAAGAATTGCGAGCTTTTGATTCAGACTTAGTTCGACAGCCGATAGCTGGTAAAAAAACCAAAAAAAACGAAACGCAATCTCACTAAAAACATTTCCTTATTCTCGAAAGAGTTGGTGACTTCTCCATGATTAAGTGGTCGTTAATTGTTTGTACCTCGACCAAAACTAAGCTGCTGTTCACTCGTTTAGGTTTCAGTATACATCTGTGTGGTTATATTGGCAATGAAAATGTCCTTAACTCTTCATGTAAGATAACGCAACAAGTCAGGAACTCGATCAATAACATAATGAAAAGTGCTTGCGAAAAAATAATTATAAACAGCTCCCAAGATCAGGTGAAAATTTACCTTAGCAAGTTGTGATTCAAATTCTCCAAAACGATCTTCAACTTCTGCTACTGTTATTCTGTCATCGCTAAACTGAGAAATACTAGAGTTGAAATCTGTAATTGTAGGGGATCGATAGGAGGGATATAGAGGACATTGTTGTAAAGCGGCATGTTGAAACTCAGTCCCAGTTAGACTTCTGACGAACAGGATGGTCTCTATCAGTTGAAAGTTCTTGAGACCGCTGATGAGTTGTATTTAGAAAACGATATAGGTGACGCAACCGCTAAAAGCAGCTAAACCAAGACAAATTACAACTTTGTTCTAAACAGGTTACAACGTACAGAAAACTTACTGGTTTGATGAAAAGCTCAAAGTTCAACAAGCGAAACAAAGAAGTACTTGGACGTCCTTTCGGCTCAGTCATAAAACTGTGAAGATTTCAGCTACTGTTGGCCTATTAATCACACCCACAGTCAGAATCCATCTAAAAAACTATAAGCCCCAATCAAAACAGCACAAACCTGTTTTCAGAATCGTTTTTGAGGTAAGTACAAACATGTGCACCAAAAACAACAGTAACGCTATGAAGCGAATTACCCCGAATGTCAAACGGTTCCAATTCCAGATCTTTCCGTCTCCTGTGAAGATGGGTGACAAGATGGCGCACTTTCATCCTCTAGGGAGTTTCCATGACCCTATGAAGGTTGCAGATTGATTTCTCGAGTGCCTTGGGGCAGCTTTTCAGGATTACCAGTCTTACGTTTTCACGGCTAGGTGACTTACGTGGACGAAGCCTAAATAGCTTTCCCGATACTTTATTCTCCGTGAGTGGAATGTGGTGGATGTATTCGTTATTTGTTGTTGTGTTGAACTGGTACGGGTTTAGTATCAGTACCATGTTTCGCTTGGAAGTGTGGGCGTGGAAGCTTAGTACACCTCCATGAAGACGTGTGATAAGATTTACTTCTTTAGTGGTTGACTTCTTTTTCAACATGAAGCGGTACAGGCTGGTTTGATGGCTAAACCTGTCGCTAAGAAATCTTATGTTGCGGAGGTTGCGAACTCGTTTATTGTTCAAGAAGCCGGACTCTCTGCATGATGAACGCCTCATAAACCAAGCGTGGTTGGAAGTAGCCTCTCTGTCCCACGATTTAGCCGCCTGGTTCTCACTGATGGTGTGTTACTTCTGTCATATTGTGGCTGATGGGTCCCAACGATTATTTCCTTCACCTGCATCTAGTCTTCATCTATTGTGAAAGGGATTCAGTCTACGGGCCATGATGCATTCTTGAGGTAACCTCTTATGGTCTCATAGTTGACCTTGATGTAGCACAGGAAGGCGCTGGGTAGCCAAGGTTGCAGAGCCACCCTAGTAATCATAGAGTAAATGACCATAGGGGGGACGTTCACCGAAAACGAGAGGCGGCTGGACACATACGTTCTCAATGAAACCACCGTTCTTTAGGACGTAGTCCGGGCGGGATGCATTTTCGCCAGACCCAAAACGCGTGGCGTCACCTACTTTCCGCGGCAGACCAGCAATCTTAATCGTATTCTTCAGCCTCTGGCTGAAGGGTCTGGTGTATCTCCCTTACATCTCGACGCAGATGGACGGAGCGTTGAAGCCACCGGCGATGAGGGATCACTAGTGATGATGGTGGTGATAGGTTTGCAGTTTAACCTCAGGCTGATGAACTTTTTGCGTGGTCTGAACTGTGTGGCCCAGAAAATGGCTCCAGTAAAAGTGCAGTAACAAACCCTGGGGGCGACTACTTTGACAGCTATTGTATAAATGGCCCATCAATACCGGGTTTTTAGAGGAAACAGATGCAGAGTTATGGTAGGTCACCAAATTAGGATTTGAAAAAAGCTGTGCTTGTAAAAATGACACACGCTGATGTACACTAGTTTATGTGGAATAAATATAAGTATTATTAATAATTTTTTTGCAGCTAAATCGTTTTGCATGGTTTGGTTGCTTTTCAGAACGTCAAAATGTTTTGGTGAAGGTGCATTGATGATTCTGAAACCCACTTATGCAAGGCCCCAATTAGGTTGCAGTACTCAGTCATCTAGTTCATGCGTAGAAGGGCAGCTACTGAATTTGAGTTGGCCCCAGGAGTAGCCATGGACCCGCAACAGGTCTAGCTCACCCTCCCCGTAAACACCAACTAGTAAGGCTAAACCACTCTCTTTTTTCACACCATGAAAGAAAGACCATATAGTTTTGACGTTCGTATTTAAAATCATGACTTAGGTATCGGTTTACGTAGTCCTTTTGCTACTTCTGGGACTAATCACCAAGATCACCATCAAAAACGATCCAAAAGTTGCGGTCGAATTATTACCGAGCGAAGTACTGGGCCTCCCATTGAGTGACGAGGTGATAGTATTTTTCAAAGATAACATATCCAGGTAAAAACTTGGCCATCATGGAGATAACCTTTGCAGACGGCCACGCATGCTAGTAGCCCACAATCCTTTCCACTGACGACCGACCCGAAAAATGTCACAGGACACCTGAGGGGAAAAATTGTTTTTATGAATTGTGATCGTCGGCCCGCAGTTCTTCAACACCTACATGTTCCATCCAGCCTGCATTCTGCCAAGAATAACATGCATCGGAGTCTAACAAACGGGGTCTGATCAACCTTGGGTTTAATGATATTGCGACCAACTTTTCTATACCCCCACCACTTTCAGTGTGCTTCGACACTCCAAAACAAGCTGAAGATGCCCCCTCCCTTCCAGCTGATACAAATGGCTAGCATATGGCACATCAGGAACAGGTAAGGTAACCTATTGTCCAACTAAGGGCAGGAGATGAATAACTCATAAACACCATTAACTCTTCAGTATACTTGTGCATGGGACATCAGAGTTGACCGAAGGACATACAGACGACGAGCACTGCTTTCAGGACGTGGAGCTCGAAAGGCGGTCGGTGACATAAATTGGAACTGACGACCCACTAGCCTGCAGCTTTCACAGTTACATGGCCAGCCCGCTTCCACAGCACTCTTGTTCTAGGGTTACCGGTTGTCACTTCAGACTCACACCGCTCACCGATGCACTCACGGCCTCACATGTGATGGAAAGCATCAGAGACGGGGCGACCGGTCAAACACAACACAGCCACTTTGGATGTGGCAGTCTGTCACCACTGCAAGAGAAGAACCTGATGAACACGACTCCACGTGTATAACGACCACAGCACCTACAGAATTCATTGGGGCCAAGAAAATGGTTTCCCACTCAATTGATGACGTCTTACAGTCTTAGCTTGCAATGCTGAGTTGCTAATTCGTACACCACGAACACTCCAAGAAAGAAATAGCTGCCAACTTGAAGGGTTTTTGCGTGTATACCTGACAGTGTCGGGAAGACTGGGAAGCAAAACAGGTAGGTTGGTATCTCTCCACACTCACTTTAACCCTTGAATCACTTTCATCACATAAACTTGGCTCGCTCTCTATGTCTTACATGCCAAACTTCAACTGGCCGACAAGACCCTAATTGGTGAGGACAGAAGTCCCGAAGATGAAGGTGGGGTGAAGGTTTGCATAAATCCAGACCTCATGGTTAAAGAAGCGTCAGATGCTCAACAAGTTTAACTAACGGGACCTCTGAGACTCTATTTTACCTAAGAATACACGAAGTACATTGTGGAGGTAATATACGGGCCCACAATAAGTACTCATGAACATGGGGTGTGGTTGAATAAAGCTCTGTGGGCTACCAATATGGCAGTCTATGTCAATGTAGTAATTAAAGGAGATTTCAACATCCAATCACTTGAATTAGGGACAGATGGCAAGTACGTGAGCGGAACATTTCACTGAAAACTCCAAAGAACTTAACCACTGATAGGACCATCCGAAAATGTCGGCAACTTAACCCGACAGAGACCGAAGAGCTGACGTTCGGGGCTTCACTACGCATTCATCCGTCGCTGAGGACAAGTGAGCTCGGGGGATTATCTTCGCCAGAGAAACGGGAGAGAACCTTACGTTTGATGGCCCACATACATTCATTTGCTATAACGGGGCGAACTACAAATGGACGAAGAACACCATACCGAAACCACCGTGGCCCTAAGATTTGGTGCCTTTGGCAGTAGATGGGGACGATTGCCTATCACTGATCAGAAGTGTGATTCAAGATGCCATTCATGATACTGCACCAAAAACAACACGGTCTCTTCCGAAGGACCCCATGAGTTCAACGCACAACGGGTCAGCTGATAAACGGTGGAAAGTGGTTTGGTTTGAGCGACATTCGTTCCGGAGGAATCGGAGTTTCCTGTCTGTAAGAAAGAAGACTATGTGACACCAGAGTTCGAAGCGGTATCTACCAATAGCGCAGTAACCTGGGCAAAGACTGCGACAGTCCCAAGAACCTGAACCGCCTCCTGTAACGGGGGTAACCGGTAAACACAAGCGTTCATGCCGTATCGCATCCTAGTGAGCAGCCATTGAGCAACGTGTCTGGCATCCTACTCCGCCAATGAAAACTGTGGAAGCAGAAGTCAGTGAGGCTAAGGATAACAGGAATGGCACCAGTATACACCTAGAGTGAAGTGACCGCCTAACCCCTACTCTGTGGCAGATACCAAGCAAGTGAATGCATCAAAACGATTGCATCATCAGTTATTTGATCTTGGACTGCATGAGTAGACGCCAGTGCACATGCCCGCACTGAGCAAAGAACCCTCTTATTTCGATGCATACGTTCCCCTGGATGCAGTCTGCTACCTTCCTTTCAGCTGCATTTGTGACCCAATACTGTTGATTATACTCGCATTTCGGAGTTCTCCCCACTCACTAAACAGCACGTCCAGCAAAGGCGTTAGGTATAGTATCTTGGTTTAAGGTGTACTTGGATGGCAAAGAATTCTTCACCAAGGTTAACAGAATCCGGTCAGTATGTAGGCTTTTCACATCTAAAGCGTCTCAGAGAGATACTTATGGTCCACTTCCTTTTCTGCTTTTCATGGATGACTGGCCCATGAGGGTCTTCTCCTCCATCTTACTATTCTTAGATGACATCAAAATGTGACGGGTGGTAGATGACAGCGATGATTCGGTACAGCTCCCAGACTACCCATCACACCAGGAACCTTTGCAGAAGGGAACGATCTAAGCTTTATTATGGGAAATGTAAAGTTGCCTATCTTCTAACCTTCGAAGCCAGTACATCAAGAGTCATTCCAAAGGCTTCACTGGAGCGAGACTCAAGAATTTTGAAGGTATAAAGAAGGGCAATGAAATATGTGAGGAAGTTGAAGGATAAACCCTGTCGTGAAAAAAAATAAAAACCTTACCCATTTAGCCTCAACTACCGCAGCAAATGAAGTGAAGCGGTAGCACTTTATCAGCTTCTTCTTCAGCGCACTTGTCCCAATCAATAATCAATTCTCACTCAAAACAGACGGCCACGCGAGAACGTAACAAGGGTAGCACATCTAATGAATAACTCAGGGTTGAGAGGCGAATTCGCTCCACTGGGGTGTTTTCATTGTGGAAAGCATGAAACACCCGGCTTGTAACACTTGGTTAGTCAGTTTTAGTGATTAAGCACGATACATCTGTGTGGCTGCAATCAGTAATTTCTATTCAGCAAGCGGTTTGTG